AGAAAATCGATAATTTTAAATAAAGTATAATTCAGAATCAAACCGCTTCAGCCTTATCGAGGTAGGATGAGTTATTGAATCCGCGCAGTGATCAATTTTGTTTTAACGAATTGTACAGAAGAATTGCTATTTTTATAGAAGCACCTTTGTTTTATCTTTGGTGCCGCTTGAATTTTTGATTGCATAATTTTAAAAAAAGGAATAAACTGAAACTTTAATATTTTACGATTCCAAAAATAAGCACGCGTTATGAATCACGGTTCATTGAACTGTTTATTAAGCGCGAAATTTCATATTAATCGTACGAAAATCAACATTATAGAATATATAATAATTTATGATTCATAATATTCCATGTATTTTTGCACAGATAATATTCTCTAATATTCAACAATTCAAATTTTTGAGGTAGCCCTTTATTTAAATCTTGTGTTTATTTCTAAAAATAATCAATAATTAAATAATCGATATTATTTAATTGATTCTGAATATAAATTATGCAATGTCGGAATTTAAATATTAAAACAGAATTTCAAATAAAATATTTTTCACAAATTATGAGAGGTACAGTGTATTTATTTTTTATAATATAATGTATTTAAAATTTGATTGAGTTGTTCGCAGATTTGTTTACATAAATAAACGCAGCGCAATGTAATACTCTAATATTACATGTTTCTATGTAAGAGTTTAAATTATATTTTTAATACTTACCGCATAAGGAGAGCAGCAAAATACTGGCAAGGAAGAACCACCCCATATTTCATCAACAGGTCGTTCCGCGAAGAATGCTACATGACGACATTCATAATTCCATATGTGTAGAAATCGTCAACGGCTGGTGCTGCGCATCCGGAACTGAGATACTATATGAAAAAAAAATACAGTTTCAATTAAAATTTTATTGAAAAAATATTTTCACTGACTAAATTAAAAACAGGAATTGAATTGAATATCAGATCGCCAAGCGTTTACTTATTGATACATACATTTAAAGTAATGAAAAATTAAAATATACATTTACAGTGTTTCGAAATTATGTATAAGTTTATCACAAGATACATCATATTCCGATAAAACTGTATTTGTTCAAAAGTTAGCTAATTCCTTTGTCTTAAATGTTTGTCTTGATCAAAATGACCTTAAGACCAAATTGTTTATTGTGCCAAGATAGTTTTTTTCGGGGGTGGTTGGAGATGCCTATATGATTAACCGCGGAAGATCGCAAATTTCCTGTATCGGCGAGTTGTATCGCAGAGGGATGCGAATAATTGAAACTCCCTACGCTGGGAGCGGCTTCCGTGAGATCCGCCATCCTATATAATCGCCGGCGAATAATGTATAAATTTGCTTTCGAGCGAGTCGCGCGGTGCTCTCCCAACGTTTCCGTAAACCAGTAAAATAGCTTATGCATGAGCGCGTCAGTATGAATCCTGGCTGGCTGGCAGACAAGGATTATATTCATATTCGCGGCGTCGCTTTTGTGCACCGTTTCCTAAGATTTTTGTACAATGGCAAAACATGTATCGAATTCATCCAATTTGCGCGCGTTGCGTCGCCATATAATTTATTTTTCCCCTATTTTTTATTAAAGCCTTTATTAAAACCTTGTTATAATCATTTTTCTACTTGCAACAATTTACCACCATGTATGTTTAAATAAATTATGTAAAATAATGTATGTAAAAATATATTCAACGTGTTGTTAAAAATGACATGCATTAAACATGTGCGAGTACGCGTATCGACCGCGTGTTTATAAGATATATTAATTTAGAAAATTTTATCATAGAGCCCTCACAGAATTTAATAGGCAAAACAATGCAGTTCCACTAATGAAATTCAAAGAATTGCACATTTAATTAATTTGTCGAAATTGTATTAAAAATAAATATAAAAATAAGAATATATATATATATATATATATATATATATACATTGTATATATTTATGTATAAAATTCATGTATATAAATTCATTAATATACTATAAAGCATAATATTATGTAGACGTTTCAACCATTTTGTTATATTAATTTCGTGAATGCAATTTTAGCAAACTATTATCATTAGTAATTAACAAACAATGTATGAGAATTAATTGAATAATATAATAAATTATAAGTTCAATAATCAGTAATCGCTGTTGAGTCACATGTGAGATCTTACATAATATGAATATATTATATTTTACAAATTATATATGTATAACAAGAATTATTTAAATATTTTTTACAGAAAAAAAGACCTGAAATGTCAATTGTACCACACAAATACAAATAAATAAATCTTTTTACAAATTTTTATAAACTAAAATTTTTAGAACTGAAATTTTAAATTAAATTAAATTTTTAATTAAATTTTATATTTAGAACTGAATTTAAAAAGAAATAGCAAAAAATTAATGGTAACATCAAATTTTTTAAATTTAATTTTAAATAAATATATTTTCACACAAAATTAATATAATATAATATTCATTTTTGACAACAGTTTCGTGTTTTGTTCATTAATGATATTCATTTCGATGTGATGCGACTAATATTTTATAAAATATCGATAATAATGATATCTTAAATGTACCCTAAATAAACATCCTTCAGATAATTTGTTTAGGATTCCTTTTTATTTTATTAAAATCTCTTTAATTTCGCAGTAACTGCTTTAAATTGACAATACGATATGAAGAAACTGAATTGTTTTGATATTAAAAAATACATTTTAAAATATGCATAAATATTTATATATATACATAAATGTTACATCAAATATATGACGTGTTTTATATTTATAAATGTATATACATATATTTTTTTATTTTTTAATATCAAAATAACCCAGTTTTTTCACATCGCTCTTGATTTGAGACAATGCAAAATTAAAAATTTTAATCAAAAAATCAAAAAATTACTTGAAAAATATTTTATCCGTATACAATTGAGACATCATTATTGTCGATATTTTAGGAGATATTAATCGCGCCGAAATGAATTACAACGATGCAATTATAACACGAAACTGTCGTCACATTAAATTCACAATAATCATTTCGCGTCAATTACTTGTTTCAAGCGCTTGAACTACAAATATACGCGATAATGGTATGCATTCTGAGGCTCTTAACGCTTATTCTAATATGTATTCCAATACAAGAAATATGCAATAATAAATGCTAAACTTTTGTTTATTTAAAAAAAGAATATTTCATACGTTTGCATGTATGTCAAAGTGTTTTAATATCAAATTTGCTCCAATTTCTTTCTCCAAGAAATCGCTGTCGGTTCGAGGCGTCGATCGTTACCGTGGAGTTAAGAAAAGATTTCTAACCATAAAAAGTCGGTCAAAAAAATTACCTGGAGGATGTTTCAATAGCTTGCAATTGAGATAACGTTAATATCGGTATCCTCCGATAATGTACGAAATATAATTCGTAACCGCGCACACGCGACGAAATAAACCATATCGATACGATTATAACACATCACGACATCGCGATAATCATTCAACACAGATTTCGCGCCACTACTTACTTCAAGCATGAACGAGCGCGATATAAGACTTGCACACTCGCTTTAAAACCGCGATCGAGAAGACGCTACAGATGTCTCGAGGCATTGCAATCAACCAATCAGGATAAAAAGATATTTAATCTTTTAATCCTGATTGGTCAATAACACATACAAATACTTCGAGGCATCTCTAGTGTCTCCTCGATCGCAATCTCAGATTGCGCTTGAAAATGACGTTTAATTGATCAATCAAGAAAAACTCTTTACTTTGTGTCCGGATTAATTAATCAAAATGTTACTCCGATCAGTAAATGATTTTTTTCGTGACCAACAACGATGCTGTCTATTCTAATATTTTTATACAAAGAAATATACATGGTAAGATAACTCTCTTTTGTTTATTTAAAGAAATTGTTGCTCTAATCTGCTAAAATTGTTTTGGTATAACAGCTCAATTATTTCGATTAACATTAATACTCATAAATTAAATCGATTACATTTTCGGTGAAAATATCTAACTGATTTATTCATGAAATTGGTGTATAAATTCAATTTTCGTAATCCCTTTTAATCTTTTTTTTTTGTTTTTATTGTAATTTGTTGATAACATAATAATTAATTCAAATTTAATTTAATATAATACCCCAGGTTTGTTAATAACATATATAATTTAAATTTAATTTATCATACCGAAAATTTTTAAATGACATTTCCCCAATAATACTAAAGTATTATATTAAATAATTTAATATAATATAATACTTAAATAATTTCTTATTGTATATATATATAATTCTATTGTATATAAATATAATTTCTTATTGTATATATATATATATATATATATATATATATATATATATACAATAAGAAAATACAATAAGTATATATATATATATATATATATATATATATATATATACAATAAGAAATTAATATTTAAGTATTATATTATATTAAATTATTATAATAATATTAAATTATTATTATAAATTATTATAATAAATTATTATAAATTATTATAATAAATTATTATAAATTATTATAATAAATTATTATAAATTATTATAAATTATTAATATTAAATTATTATTATAAATTATTATAATATTTATTATAAATTATATATATATATATATATATATATATATATAATTTATAATAAATATTATACGTTATAAATATTATATACTTTGTATCATTAATTTATTTAGATATAAACATATATTTAAAACCAGATGATATATATTGATTACGAAAATTTTTTTGCATAGATCTCCTTGCATATATCCCGGTCTCGAACGCGAATAAATAATCGATAAGGCCGATATTACATTCGTCGTACAATATTAGCTTAAGACCGATAAAATTTTTTAAGCACATTGATTGGTTGCGGGATATTAATTTTTTGAATCTTTAGAAATTTTCTATCCCGCAGCCAATCAATGTGCTTAAAAAATTTGTCGTACGACATATGTAATATTAGCCTAATGCAGTGATTCATAGCTGTGTTGCAGTCGGTAAATTCCCGCGCATTGTCAAGTTCGGTTTTATTAATTCGAATAAGAGGTGTGGTATCGATTCATGCTGAACAACTTTTCTAATTCATTCGACGACAAATTTTTTGCGAGGAAATCATAAATTGTCGTAACAAGAGTGCGCGTGTTAATTACGAGCAAAGTAATGGCAGAACAAATTCAAAAAATCGACGTGGATAAACTTTCCGAAAGTGTCAATAGTTTGCAAAAATGCTTGGAATGTACAATTTGGTAAGTTTATACGCACGCTTCTAATTAAAACGCTACTAAAGTACGATCAAATTTGATCGCATGATGTGTAATCCCGATTAATCGATTATTTTTGCGCGCGATTACACTATTGCAGTATTGATATAGGTTAGGATTCAATAGCATATATACAGTAGCCCAATGTTTATAGTATACTTATGAGTCTCGAATGAAACCATTGTGTTTTATCATTAATTATGTATGTGTGAATAATTTTATATTAAATTTATATTAAATTTCAAGTAATTAAATGTTTATAGATTTTCTATTGCATGAATACAATAAAAAATATAATAAAAAATATATATATTCGCTTTATATAATTTTTTTTTAATATTACACAATATTTTTTTACAGTTAAATATTAGTTATATATAGTTTAATATAATTTAATATATTTATATTTCATATCTATAATATATGTATGATAATGATGTGTACATATATATATATATATATATATATATATATATATATGTGTGTGTACATTATATACAACACATTTGTGTGTGTGTATATATATATATATATATATATATATAATATATTAATAATGTAAATGTATATATATATATAGGATATCAGGACAATCTCTTCTCAAAAAAAGTTCTTGTAGCTTAACTCGAGAGAGACTTTTTCAAAACACTATAATAAAGTATTTTTTCATCGAGTTATGATATTAAGAAAAAATATATAATTTGCAATTAACAATTACGTATTTTTTTTCGAAACAATTATGTATTTTCTTTACACCAATTGATTCCTCTCATTATTTTATACATAAATGTATTAAGATAATTGAGAAATGAATATTTTACTAGATATTTTATGGTTTATGTAAAAATTAAGAGATTATTTCAAGCCTCATAACTTGAAAAGTACTGGAAAAATTATAGTGAATTATATTTTGAAAAGCTCTCGAGGTAAGCTACAAGAGCTTTGTTTTGAGAAGAGATTGCCCTGACACTGTGTATATATAAATATATATAATTAAAATAATTATTTTGTATATGAAGAGAACTCAGATTAATTTCAGAATTTATAAATAATATTACAATTTCATTTTAGTTTGCAATTGATGATAGAACCTACAAAGACACGATGCGGCCATTCATTCTGTAAGTCATGCATAGGGAAAGTGTTGCGGAAGAAAAATGCAAGTTGTCCATTATGTAAAAAAAATCTTAACAGACGCAATGTTTCAAAAGATGATCACTTAGAAGCCTGTATTACAAAATTTAAACATCTTGTCACTGCCATTCAACTTGACAGCAACATAGACAGTGAGTATATTCCAGAAATTTTCAATTTTAATTTTTTTTATTAACTTTTAATTCATATTGAAATAAATCAATAAATAAATATTCTTATCTGAGTTCTTATTATTGGTTGCCATTACTATTAGTATTCAGAATATATGAACATTAAAAAATATAAAGGAACGTAAAGAAATAAGTACAGCCAGGAAATGGCTCTTTCATTAAAATATTATTGAGAATTATTGTTGCATTCTTTCAATAATAGTCATAATTCTTGCACTAGCTATTGACTTGTGTGAGAGATCTGATATTATTTTATTTAGTTGTGAATAAAAGTTAAAAAGCAGAGAATACATTGCCATAAAAGTACATTAAGCGAAGTCAGTACTATGTTCTTCATGGTGCGCAGAGAAAACTTGAAAAATTTAATTCTCGATACTCTAGGGTGCCTCGATTCACACACACACTGTACATTTAGACATGTATATAAAATTCAATGTTTTATAAGGCCGTGGAGTTTGAGTATCACGTATCTTTCCGACATCATCCAACTTCTCGCGGTGAATATTTTTAAAATAATCTTTACTAGAAAAAAAAAGAATAAGAAATTTACAGATCACCGCCGAAATTATCGATCGTAATATAATCTAGCTATAATTGTGTGAAAATAAATAAAAAATTGCGCGCTTAAATTGATTCTTTTTTTATAATGTTACATGTAAGATTATATTTATTTAGCAAGACCAGCAAACAAAGTGGGACGTTTTTCTGATCTGCACTTCGATGATATCTATGTTACAGTATGCTCACATTCGAAACCGCGTAATACAAGAGAAAGTCATACATCAATTATGATCAAACGTGATGATTCTATTCCTGCGGATGAGAATGAAAACGCGATTTTTAGCAGACCTGATGTTAAAGTTCGCACGTGGTTGTACCATATGCCCGATGAACCGAGCTGTGTAAAAAGCAACAATCTAATATCCGATAATCATAATGAATTAAACACGACCGATATAAATGAGAACGACAAAAGCAACAGGAGAAATCGTCGAAAAGAGAGTTTAAATAAACAGAATATAGATCATATGGAGGATACAAATACAGAGGGTACATCCCGTATAAGAAAGGAGAACCTGGAAACGAAGAAATTAAACGAAGAAATAAAGACCGATTCCGCTACAACGATCGGATTGAAATACAAAGCGTTTCACGCTACAATACGCGAAAAACTTCGTACGTCAAAATTGAACATTGAGAAGACGAATAATCAGAACAATTCATCATTGACAACAGTGAACGACCAAACGTGTCAGATTTCGACGATCAATAACTCGATCTCAAACACATCGAGCGCAATTGCAGTGCAATCTTCTTCCGCGGACTGGACTCGCATGATCGAATTCGGGAAGGCGACGAAACGTGGTAAAAAAAGAAAGATGAAGAAGCTGAATGTGAGTACCGAGAAGAATAAGAACACACCTCGAATAATTGAAAATGTTACGTTATCGCCGAATAAGAAATACAATCTGACCAAAATTGTACCGAATAATAATAATAATAAGAAAAAGAAGAACAATCAGAAAGAAAACACAATCGATAAAAATCTAGATTTATCGAGTACAAACGTGATGCCATCGGAAGTATTAAGTGAAACGGACACTCGTAATCAAAAGGAATCTGCAAAAGACAATGCCAATAGTTCAACATTATTATCACCTAATCAGCTTTCGATAAAAATGCAAGAGGAAGAAAACGAACGAATACGTACAATGAACTTGAGTAGCAGTCAGCTGAATGAAATTATTGGCTTCGAAAACGTCAATAAAAATTGTCAAGCTTCTCAAAATCGATGTCGTGAAGAAAGTCCAGAGATTGTTGTAGAACATTATGATTCGTTACTGCCATCACCGAAAAAATTAATAATATTAACGCCCCAGAAGTTGAACGAATCTGTACGCGAACACGAAATAATCCGTGACATTGCGCAAACTCCTCCTGTCGACAACTTTGGAAACTTGTCACCGACCAAAAACCGAACTTTCGAACTAGAAAGGAATAACAATACTCAAAGGAAATTAGAAGAAGTTGCCTCTTCTCAATCCTTGCAATCCCCAATATCAAAAGCCAGATTATCCTTGAAAAGAAAGTCGGGAATTGAAGAGAAAAAGAAAACTGACTCGCCACTATTAGATCAAGTTCCATTGATTGACAAACTGTCGATTATTGAAAAAGATAATATAAATGATCGCAAATACAGCTATTCGTATCCATTAACGAAAGACGGAAAACTATTTGATAGATTATCAACTGTAAAACGCGACTTGAATTTAGAGATAATCGATGAAGATCAATTACAAACCAATCGGAATAGGATATTTAATAGTGCGCTTGTCAAAAAGACAACGGACCAAAATGCTTCTAAAATTATTTGTCAAGAGAAACTCATCAATCATCCTACGACATCGAAAAAATTATCAAAAAATATTAAAAACCAAAGACATCCCGTGAAATTTCTTCAAAAAGGCACAATGATTAGGCGACGTAACGTCAAATATTTTTACTTAGGCACGACTAAACGCGAATCAGCACAAGTGTGTAATATAGCATCAGTGTGTAATATGCAGCAATCAATCAGCAAATTCGACATGCTGCAACATAATATTATGAATATGTCGTGCAACTTAGCGAGATCCCCTAATCGATCAAACGATTCACAAGACACAATGGATATTACTGTGATGGAGAATATTAGTTCCGTTACTCAAACTATTTCAAGAGAACTTTCCGCAGCATCCCCACATCCTCGTGAAATTTCAGCAACTTCGATGCCAAAGAAAGATATCGATCATCAAAAGAAAACTACGATGATCGAGGACATCGCGAAGAAAAGTGCGCAGTCTCCTCATAAGATACCTCATGTAAGTAACTCGGCGATTAAGAAAATCTCGCGTGTTTCAGGAACGTCGAATTCTATTAAACTGCTGTCACCAGACAAAGATTCACAGCTGAAGTTTCTGGCGATAGACTCTCCAATGAGCGAGCACGGAGAGTCTGGACGTGCGAATTCGACGCGACAGCAAACCGAACTCAAGAAGCCCGTTCATGCCAAAGAAAATAACTTTCCTAAGGCGAAAAATTCACACTTTGCAGCGTCCACGAGCAAAGCACAAGAGCTTTTCATCATAGATTTCGATAGGAAGAAAAGAACGAGATATATTAGTGACAAGGAGCTATTTGACGATAATACAAATGACAGCGATTCGGCCAGTGACAGTGGTCGACGTAGGATAAAACGTGACAGATATAACAGATCATCCAAAAATGCAGGATCGAGTTTAGATGCGAGTAAAAAACATCGTTCAAATTCGGCCGATCAAGACGTAATCGAAGTAATCTCTCTGCCTTCTAAGGAACAGGATACATGCACGAGAAAATTCAGAAGGATACTACAAATTTCTAGCTCAGACACGGAATCGGAATCGACGGAGCATATTGCGAGAAATTGCAAAAGGTACTAGAAATGAAATTATATAATTAATAATTTTATATGAGCAATATATAAAAGTCGCGTCGAACACTTTTCCGTTTTAACCTTTCCTGTTAACGATTTTATTTTTTAATTTTTATTTCTTCAACTTTTTGTCATCTTTATATCATAAATCATATTATATTTCTTATATGTTAGCTTTTATTTTACATCAATCTATGTATATGGTTAACGTTGTTTTTCCAAAATTAAATGTTTTCTTTTCTTCTTTTTTCTTTTTTTTTTCTCTTACTTACTACTTTGAGTGATTACTACTACACGCTACCATTACTGTAGACAAAGTAAAGCATAGTACACTGTACATTTAATCTCGGAAAAGTTTTTTATCATTAAGACAAGATGTATTTCTTTTATTTATACCGTTATTTATACCGTTTTTTCTCTGAAGACCCAGAGCTGACGATCAATCTGACCAACGGAACGCATCGATTATGGATGTGCCTAAGAAGAAATGTTTGTCAATAAGAAATCCATCTGAGGAAAAATTGACTAGTCATCGACCGGTGAATCGTCAGAAAGGCTTGACGATGCGAGAATCGGATATGTTTGAAAGCAATAGTATATTTAATTCGGAAAATCTTGACTACATACTACAGCAATCTATGTACGAGGGACACAACGGAAGCAAAAAATCGGAAAAAATCACAGAAGATTCTAATGACGACATCATAAATAGAGTACTGCAAATCAATCGATCGCAGAATAATTCCAAGGCGTGTCGATCGCTGGATTCTGCTCCCCGGAACATCGAAACGAGTCAGAGAGAAAAGAATAGCGGAGAGTGTTGCAAGAGTTTATTGCAGGATAATTTTGATGAGATTATCGCCAACGTCGAGTTGCCACAAAGCCACGAAGACATGATACCTTGTACCGATCAGTCGATCAGATCTAATCTCAAATCTGGCTTGTTGGCGGAACAGAGGACATCGAACTGTCTCGTGATGACAGATGAACCGTGTGGCACCACACAGGAAACTCCAATATTAAGTGGATCGTCAACACATGATATTTTTGAATATTTCCCCAAAAACCTTCGGAAACGCAAGACGATCGTTACTTCAGAAAATTTGGAGAAAGAAATTGTTAAATCCCCCGACCAGAAAAGACACGACTATACAGTTGATCGAAGAGAGAAAAAAAATGTAACGGCAAGTGCCAATACAATTGACATAGATCCTTGTAGAAGGATTATATTAAAACATAATCTATCGTATGGAAGGGAAGAGTTTTCTGAAGAATTTTCCTCTCTTGCGCAACATAATGCTTCGACAGATCGACCACACATCGATAATGGTACAATGCAAAAACCAGTAGTTGGCACCGAGACAACAGATGATTTCTTCGATTCGCTTATGGATGTTACGCAGCATCAAGTTCAGCTGCAAAAGTTTGAAAAAGAATTATTCGATATCCCAGTTAAAGATCAGAATCAAAGAACGACGAAGATTACTTTGCAAGAAGATTCGAGCCAAGAGAAGCAGCACACTCCAGAAAAGCGGAAGAAAGATACTCAAGATGAGAAGGCTGCAATAGAGGTCAGTGCATCCTGTTTATGCAATCTCATTCATCCGTTTTTTAATTAAGTAACATATTAATGCATGCTTTTTTTATGTTTTAAAATATATTTTTGTTAGATATCAAAATTCTTTATATAGGAAAATAATTATAACATATATAATTATGACGAATTGAATATTTGCAAGTATACAATTTTAATAGCTTTCTTCAGCTTTCGTAAAACCATAATTCATATCACAAATAATTATTGCAAATTTGATAAGATATATATATTGCGAATAAATTTCTTTATATTTTCAAAAAACCTTATTTTCGAAATAATTATAACTCATTTGTGTTTAAAATTAATAGTTATCTGCAATAATATTAGTGCACTATTAATAGTAATATATTAATGAACACTTTTAATTTCCCTCTTCAAATTTTTCTATCATAACGATTTTATAATTCCTTTTATGATTTAATATTTTACGTACATTTATACATATATCTTTTATATTTCAGTCATATAATGTTAATGCATAAATGTATCATATAGAAATAGTAGAGAGAATGTATTATAAGAAATATTAATATCTATATGCATATATCTCCCTTTTTGAACTTACACTACATAGCACACTATTTTTTATTTTCAAATATTTAGTTAGTTTCCATTGTTTTATTTATAATAAGATTTACGGATTACATTTGTGATTGCGACATGAAAGCTCGGTTAATATAGTAAGAGTCATATAGCATTTTTAAACTTTTTAGGTACTCTCTGCCGACGAAGACGATGTTGTGGAAAAAACTCCCGAGAGAAAGATGAAGAAGTAAGTATTTTAAGCCCTTCTTTTCCTTATCGCCCCTCGTGCTCATGTTTTTGGTTGCTTATATATTCGTATATAAATATACATATACTATTGCATGATTCATACTAAAATGGGCAGAATTGCCCCTCTTTTCTAGTTTCGAACATTGCAACAAAATATTAATAAAAATATATATACAATTAAAAATAAGATAGAACGATAAGATAACGATGAGATATAAAATATATATTAATGTACGAAGAGTAAAGAATTATTAATTACATATAAAGAATGTATTAAATATATAAATGTACATATATATGATTTAAATGATAATTAATTAATATTCATTAAAAGATTCATAGATAATATTTTAAAATATAAAAAAATATATACAATATATTTATATATACAATATGTAAAATATACAAAAATCTTTAGAAAATCAGAAAAGGCAGTTCTGAATGTTTGATTTTTAACTTGTTCTTTTGCAACACGCGAAGTTTATTATTATAATTTTGCAGCAATGGAAATAATATGAAACTACATGAGTCGAGAAAAAATCTATCGTATTTATCGCCGATTTCGAAACCACATTTCGAACCACCATCATCCGTCGAGCAGACACCGAGCACATCTAAGATAAGGAGCGTCTCGAAGAATGATGCAAGCATGTCTGTGAAGCCACTTTATCACAGTACACCGCAAAATTCCACAAATAAATTGAAGAACGTCTGCCAGCAACCTAATAGGCGAAAACTGTGTTTCATGTGTAGCGGTTTGACGGCGACTCGATTGGCAATTGTGAAAGAGTTCGCGACGACGTACAATATAAATTTTGTAAATCAGTTTGAGTCTGATATAACGCACGTTATCGTGAACACGATAGGCGAAAAGAACGCAGCCAAAAGCACATTGAAGTTTCTCCAAGGTATAGCTCATCGAAAATGGATAGTCAGCTACAAATGGATAGAAGATTGTATCGAACAGGGAAAACTGCTAGACGAAACCCCTTACGAGGCCATGACGCTCAGCGATGGGATTACCGATGACGGTCCTCAAAGGTCGAGACTACGCAAAAAGGATCTCTTCGAAGGCTTTACATTTTGGTGCGTCGGACCGTATTTGAATGTTTCGCCAAATCAATATGAGGTTCGTCTTAATTTCCGTCAGCTTTAATTTCTGTAATGAAGAACGTAAGAAATATTGCGAATCTTTAATCTCTTGCTAGACATGAAGAGTTATTTTCCTCGTCATGAACCTTATTCATCTCTGTCAAAATTGCGATAAGACTTCTTCGACTATGATTAAAACCAATTCATTGTACATGTCACTGAACTGGAAAGATTTTTATTTACGGTTTCCGCGTCCAGCTACCGCGTCATTTGAAGTTGGATTTGGGCCAAACTCATAGTGTAAAAGTACCTTTGGTTTTCAGAGCTTGTTACTCGCCACTGGAGCCATAGTGGTAGACTCTCTTGAAACTTTGGCTAAAAAGGAAGGCATGAAAGGTATTGTGATCCAAGACGGTGTTCATGATGATAAAGAAATTGGTAAATAATAATAAGTATTGTTATAGATACGTTTTGTTGTAGATAAGTTAGTATTGTTGTAAATAATATATACGATGATGAATATAATAATGAAGATAATTTGAAAAGCCCACCAAAAAAATATATGTATATTTGTAAAAATATATGTGTATTTGTGTTAAATACAAATATACTTGTATATCGATATATATATATATTCGCGTTTTTAATTTTGACAGAACATTGGTATCGAACTGCCAAAGCAGCACCAATTTCCGACAGTTGGATAGTGAATTGTATCAGCAACTACAAATTGTTCAATCTTGCGTCTTATGTCCATCTATCATTAGAAGACGTGTACGCCATTGGCTTTCCACAAGAACTCATAGGAGAATACAGTGACGGTGAAGAATAATACAAAATAGGTAATCACACAGATTAATGATTAATGATTAATAAATAATTGATCGTTTGATTGATTATTTGTTAATCTGTTACTACTTATTATGTCAACGATACAAGTACAATAATATTTGTACGTTTAAAAATTGTATGTATGTAAATTCAATTCTCGTTCTCTTCAATATCTGTCAGTGTCATATTATCAGTTTATATTATACAGATTATATATTATTATTATTATTATTATCTTCCTATATAATATGCATTTAATCTGTTACTACTTATATCAACGATACAAGTACAATAATATTTGTACGTTTAAAAATTGTATGTATGTAAATTCAATTCTCGTTCTCTTCAATATCTGTCAGTATCATATTATCAGTTTATATTATACAGATTATATACTATTATTATTATTATTATCTTCCTATATAATATGCATACACAAATATAGTTATTAAAATTTTTTGTAATTTAATTACAATTTTGTAATTTAATTACAAAAAATTTTAATATATGTTTTTCTAATAAAGAGAAAGTATTCGTCCTTTTTCTTTTTTTCTTTTAACTAAAACTCGTTCCTTTCCTTATTTCAGTTCAATTCCCGCACATCGTTTCAAATCACATCTTTATCTTATTTGCTATCCCGTCCTGAGTTTGCTGTCCGCTTTTCTGTAAGTACTCTTCTCCATCTAGAAATCCATCTTACATAGTTTCCCAATTTATCCTCGAGAGTTTCCCAACGCTACTGCAAACTATATTACAAAATACGTTTCGAAATATATGTATATTTTCGACAAAAAGAAACATGAAATTCATTCCAACAAACGACGTGAAGCGTAAATATTTTCGTCATGTCGCGCTATTGTTGCTTGTCGTCATTGTCGATCGTAAAGCCCGTTCGTCTCGGGGAAGAAACGCGTCGAGAGTATAAGTAATATTCTCACGTATATTCACCTAACACACGTACATATATTGATTTGCCCGGGACCACCTGTAGCCAATTCTCATCCATTCGCGCACTACACAGCGGTTATGAATCCTGCATATATAAAAACGCTATACATTCTGTACAATACTCCTCCCGACATCGATTATTAATATCGCGATACATGAAAGTTGAAATTTATTCGCGATTTTAAAAACACAAACACGTTGCGAAATATAATGTAAATTGTATTTCTTCTTTCATACATCATTTTCCATGTTGTCAATTGTCAATCGACGGGAATATGTTTCACTCAATATGTTGTATCGGTCTCAATAAGAGATAGTTTATGCATTTTACAAGTATTCATTTGTGTGCATTCCAAGGAAATGCTTTGTATGAACTGCGGTATATTTTGAAGCAAGTTATTCGGGATTTAGCCATCTCCTTGTGCAATATAGAGAGATTCGATTATGCCTTTTCCCTTCCCCGTGGCCGCGTAACTCGGCGAGACTGTTGAAGTTCACCATTGTGCACAGTCCATTATACCTGTGTTTACGAATCACTCTCAATAGCACGCAGCATTGGAGGAGTCCTCTATTGTATTTTCACACGACGATACTTGCTTATGTGCGCTTATGTATTACGTCCATTTGTGTCGTGTCTACAGGAGAGGTAAAACGACAGTACCTACCATTGTCATCTTCGAATGGTTCCTTCGTTAAATTAAAATGACATATTAACAAGAAAAATATAATATTAATCACCTGTTTAGATTTTTGAGAGAAATATGAAAAAATATTATTTTTTATACTACATTATTAAGGTTTCATGCTGATTAATTATATGACATAAATAATATATAACACGTCTCTATAATGAAAACCAAATTATTATGGATAATGATACAATGAATAATTTAATCCGTTCATCTATACTTATATTATGGGTAACGATATACAATGAATAATTTAATCCGTTCATCTATACTTATACTATGCGAACCTGATGATGTAATCAAACACGTGTTGATTACAGCGAGGCCATCAATAATTACGGCTGGCTTCGTGGACTATAATAACACTTATCAGACATGCCCATTCCATCGTGCGCATTAGGTCTTCGTTATGACGTATCTCATATAATAGTAATGTTTGTGCGCGCATGGCATTTCATTACGCGGCCTATTACGTCAAGTTTATGGCAATGAATCTCGCTTCATCACTTGGAAAACGTAACAAAGTTATCTCCACAATTTATTGAAACATTCCGTTTGACGGATATGCTACGTTAATTGCGTCAACATCTAGCTACATTTGATAAAAATTTTATGCCCATTCATTTATAACATTCATTCCCGAACGGCACTCAAATATAGCAGGGAGCTCTCTCGCCCAAAAATTTGATATGGAGAGATTTTCGTAATTTTTTTACCTTTCAAAAAGTTTTATGTCGTATAAAAAAGGAAAATCATGGATATATATGTTATTTATTTTATTTTATTATAATATAAAAAGAGAATTTTTATTTTAGTATAATATAAAAAAAAGAGCAGAGAGAAAGAGAGAAATGGCAATCGTAAGTGATTAAGTGCAATATGATTAAAACGAATTAATGCACGTCCATATCGATGAATAATAGCGAGTCATCAGCATTCCATTGACCTATGTCGTATGCGTTTCGAAGCAACAGCACATTCGCTTTTTAATTCGCTTTTCGTCAAATTGTCCGTATAAATTACAATTTAAGAAAAGTACGGCAATAACTTCCCATTTCTTCAGTGAATTACGGTGTGCAGATCACCATTTTCCGAAGCAGCCTCCTCTTTTCCAGTCAAGAGATTACAACCGTAAAATGAAAGTCCTCCTCTATTCTTGCCCGATGCTCGTCGTTTCTTTTATTTTGCAATAAGAAATACATAAAAGAAGAACGAAATATACGAAGTATTCAGTAATCGTATTTCACAAAGCAATGTGTTATAGAATCATAAAAATGAAAATAGAAACGAGATTGTTGTTTAGACTCTTTCAGTTTTTCCATCGGCTGTATCGATTATATTTGATATTTTGAATTTTTTATCTATGATTCATTCATAGTATATATAAAAAATATGTTATTTAAATCGAATTTCGATTGAATTGAATGAACGTTTAAAATTTTTTTACAATTTTATAAACTGGTGTTGATTAAATTCGAGATATTGGAATTCAAAATTTTTGTATATCGTACTATTTTCTAATTCCGCGAAATATGTTACAGATATGAAAACGAAGAAAGAATTGTATATATATCTAATAATTTAGTTATAAAGAATTTGTTTTAAAATGTAAAATTTATTTTATAGATTTTTATAAATTTGTTTATACTTTTATAAATTTTCCTGTTTCTCCGAAAAACAGAGAGAAGTTATGCGCATTTCAAAGTAATTCTTATAACATTAATTAAATTTATGCGGCTATTAATTAAATTTTTGTGTTTAACACAAACGTGTTAAATTTCAATTTAATTCTACGAGTATACATTAGATATACTTCATTATGAAATATTATAGAATTAATATAAAATTACTCTCCTCCTTCTATATTTTTTATATAACATCATCCACTCTCTTAAATTGAATCAGTAAAAGCATTCATATTTTAACCCTCCATCTTATGTAAATTTGGCAATGAGATTTCATATAATTAGTATTCAAATTTAGAATTATATGCATATTACATTTATTTTAAGGTCTTAAAATATGATAAATCTAGAAAAAAATGAAAATTTTTGATTACAAATCCAGATATTTGTTTTAAGACATATAAAATTTGTTTTAAAATATATATATTGCTATAAAAAAATATGTCTTATATATGATATTCTATGAGACGCATTTTTAAATATCGTTAATTGAATTAATTAATTCTTCTCAGTGAAACTTCCCGACAATATTACAATCGAAATCCACTGCTTATCAGTGATGATACACTTCATTCCATCAGATTTCAAATTTAGATCAAGTGCATATTATATATATGTGGATAAATTTGTTTTAATAACGAATAATTAAAAGATCGATATCTCTGCATCGGAAAATATCCAATAAACGGCATGGTAAATAATTTAACGAGATGGCTGTTCGTATCACGCGATCGATAATGTTGAAACTACGTCATAAGTTGTAATAACATCGGTTAATGAACTTTCTACTCGGTCCAATTTCTAGAAGTTCACATCCGCGCGTTCAATACTACGGTGTTCTATTACTTCATGCATTATTTTATTTTCCATTTCGCTACAGTTGATACGCGATAAACTATTAAAAAAAGAAAAGGGGCCGCCTACACGATAAATGACGAATAGCTGAATCCACCATCAAGGCTACCATCTCGCGCGAGCAATTTCACGGAACGTTGTGCATGTCCTGCGGACAACAACGGATCGCTAGGAGAATAGGGTGCGGTGCAAGTCGAGTCTGTCCTTTATGAGCAATTTCGAAGAAAACTGCCGCTTTTTATCTCCGGCTGATCTTCCAACAGTGTGCAGTTGACAGGCTCGAAAGAATGGTTCGATAATCTCTGGGCTCTTCTTTCGTCACGTCATTTTCTTTAATTGACAATAACGGAAACACAAAATCGAGCACGACACAGGATGGCGAAAATATAAGCTCGAAAATACTGAAGGAGATAGCGAACATTTTTAAAGGCAGATTCATATATATTTGTTCGTTTTAGTCTTCTTGTCATGTGTCATCCTCCCCAACGTCTATCCTGACAGGAAATTGCGCGTCTTAAGCGCTTACCACCTCGCGAGGCGAAAAACGATGATAAGTAATAATATCTTAACGTGGATTACTTGGAAGGGTCACAGTTTCATTTGGGAAAAAGCAATTCACTTAAATCGCCGGGAGATTAAAACTAAGCAAGATAAAAACTCTTTTTCAAAATTAATGCTAATTTTTAGATTCATATCTTTCAAATTGAATGTGTTTTAAGATAAAGATTAAAAAAGTACCCTTATTACGCACGAAGAATGATAAGATAAGACAATTTGCTGTGAAAATGAATTAAATAGCTACGTATGTTTTGATACTGATTAAAAATTATAAAGTAATTTCCTATCTATTCTGAGGATTGTAAGAAATTTTGCATTTGAATAAATATTGATTCTTTAATTATCATTAATGAAGATATTACCACGTCACTTGGAACCGATGGATGGTAATTTTAAAAGGAGAGAGAGAGAGAGAGAGAGAGAGAGAGAGAGAGAGAGAGAGAGAGAAATAATTCCCATCTAAAACAACTGATTGGATATTTTTTCAAATAACATGATTTCCGAGATCTTTATTGTCTTTAAAACTAGGAGAATCCACGAAGAAATTATGAAATATAAAATTACTCATTGACTTTCTCAAGGAATCTGTAATTAAGCGAACGTCCGAATTAAATTCAAATAAGGTCGCTTCGACGATAATAGGTTTGATTTCCAACGAGGCCGCGCACTTCGACGGGCACAAAAGGGCGACAAGAGGCAGCAAACAACGAGGGCAGGATCTACGTGCATGTGCTTCGGATCCGGCTGCATCCAGACGAGGAAAGATTGGAGCGCGCCTGTCCCCTGTCCCCTGTCCCCTCGTTGCCAATTAACAATGGCAAGTGCCGAGAGAGACGACCTTTTCACTCTACTAAAATTTGCTCTGAATTTAACTGCAGTGCACTTTTAGTCGCGCAAAGGCATTCCGACAAGCTGCTCGACGCCCGCGAAAATGGCTCTCGTTATATCTACCGTATTCGTAAATTGGTTCGCGTAACTGGACGAGACTTTCGCAGGATCGCGATTAATTCGAGAAACGCGAAAAGGAAAAATTT